ATTTTAATTTCAAATTACACTACACTATGAGTGGTCTTCTTTTCATATTCCTCATCTGATTACTGGGTGGGAGTCTTTTTCAAGGCCTCTAAAGATCTTGTGGGAGGAATATTGAAATTTAACTTGGAGAGGATTGCTAGCTTCATCATCTGCAATATTTATCCCTCATTTTGGGCTGCGTTTATTGACCGGTGTTTTGGTCAGAACGTCCAGTAAGGCGCTTAACCATTCTGGTGCTTTGGTGATGGTGGATCGTGTGAACTCCACTTTGGACATTTTAAACAGAAACTTTTCTGAATATTTGGACTTTATGATTATTTAATTTGATTTAGATTAGAGCTGCATTTTTTTTATTATTTATATTGCCTTTTATGCAAGCTGCTTTGCTTTGATTTTTATTTTAAATTGATATTTTTTAAGCTATATATTTTGTGTATCAATCTAAGTGCAGGCTTAATTAATTTTAGAAACATATATTTCTATGATGATTTAAAACAGATATTTATTTTTACTCTGTATCCCAAAGGCTGTTTTTTTTTTTGAACATGTGACCGGCAGCAGAGGACTTAAAGCTCCTCCTGCTTATGTTTCCCTGCAGATAGGCTGGGAAAGAGCTGGATCATGTGACAGCTGTATATCGATTAGGAAAAAGGTACTTACATGTTTTTTATTTAATTAAAATGATTGCAGTGCTATCATCCACATACAGAAAGAGAAGGGATAAAGTAAATTAAGCTGCATGTGTTTAGTATCACTTTAAACACAAAAGGGAACATTTATTACATTGCAGATTACCAATTCTTAGATGTCATGGCTCCATTAGTTTTTTTAGGCTTTATTTTATGTTCACCTGGTGATCTGGCCAATAAGTCTGTTTTTCTTCAAAAGAACAATTTCTCCTGCCAAAGAGTTGGTTAGAGAGTTGAGATAAACCATGTACCACTGACAAGGTGCTTACAATGATCAGTTTGAATTTATTCATATAAAACCTTTATCCCAAAAGAAAAAAAAACTGTTGTTGTAACTGCAGTGTGAGATGGAGATTGGCTTCAGTTTATTAGGGTATATAAATCTGCTTGTACATTTAAAGTGGTTCTAAAGGCTGAAAGTTTTTTTTTTATCTTTATACATTCTATGGATGCATAGAGCAGCGGCTCAGGAGCAAGCATGTAGTTTTGCCCTGGGGGCACTGCTCGACGGGGAGGAATAGGATTGGGGCAGCTGCGTGAAAAACTACTGCACAGAGGAGGTACGTATGGGCATGTTTGTTATTTTTTAAAAAAAAAATACAAAATAAAAATTAAAAAAAAAAAAGATTTAGTGTCACTTAAACACTCCCCTCACACAAGATTAACAATGCTTCCGTCTGCTGCACCTCTATGCTCCTTCATCCACAGTGGGGGCACTCTAATACAGGAGGTATGTTACTATCCAGATCACCAGGTGAGAACAGAGGGGAAAAAAAGCCTAAAAAAAGAAAACAAATGCAGCAACTACATCTAATGATTGGTAAGTTGCAATATATTACATTTTTAGGTTTAAAGTGCTTTTAAAGCCTAAACATATTTTACCTAAATGCATTCCCTGCATTACCCCTTTCCACCTCCCATCCCTTTAATAGGTTCTAAATGACGGGAGGTGGAGTCGGGCATTCCATTCATGTGACTGCTGTGATTCTAGCCACAGTGGTCACATGATCGAAAAGCTCCTGATCGCAAGTATGGATTGGGAGCTTTCCGAAACCCACTGGTTACTGTGCTGTGAGTGCACTCTCAGCAAAGGAAAGTTTTTACATAGGGATGCATATATATGGCTACTCTATGTTATATTCACCTGGGCTTTATGTGTACCCCCCCCCCACATAAACCGGTTAAGGTAAAAAAAAATGTTTAGGTAGTAATGTTTCCCCCTTCTACTTACCTAAGCTCATATTCATTCCAGCGCTGAGACTGTCTGTAGCGGCTCTCCCTGCTCTCACAGGCTCTGCTGAGGCAGCGAGAGCCAATGGCAGTCAAATTCTGTGATGAGGGAGCTGGTGGTGGGGCCAAGCCGCGCTGTCTGTGTCTAGGGATGAAGGCAGAGTGGCTGGGGAGCGCGCTCGCAGGTGTGCCACCAAATAAAGTGGCTTTTTATGGTTGCGCAACGAGAAGAGGAGAGACAGGAGAGATGGTGTGAGAACCATAGAAAAGGAGGGTCAGGGTGGCTCTGTGCAATTCCATTGCACAGAGCAGGCAAGTATAACATCTTTTGTAAAAAAAATACATATAAATATACTTTAATACTGTTTTCAGATCCCAGATGGTGTGGATGCCCCTTTTGGTTATGGAACAGTGACAAGGTTTCAGTAAAAATGCTGAAGTCTTTCAGTAGTTGGAACAATGGTAATAACTCCTTGCCTCTAAAGATCTGTAAGAGCAGATGAAGATCTGCTAGGCTGTGCAGAGACACAGGTACATTTGGAAGCACAAAGTGAGGCGGAGGTGTAATGCTAAACTCTACCTTGAAGCCCCTGGATACCGTGTCTCTGACCGTGTGTCTGCAAAGGCCAAATAATGTCCTCCTACTTTGGAATGTGGCAGCATCCACTCATGACGAAGAAGACTTGTCTGCAGGTTTGGGTTTAAGGCCCAAGGTCTGCAAATGTACTGGGCTCCTAGCTTGGGTATGGCCTTGGAATGGGACTCTTTTTTAGCTTCAGGAGTGAGAAAGGTCTGTCTTGAAAGATACCTATGCTTCTTCTGCTGGAGCAAATGAGCACCATTAACATCCTTTATAAAGCTGTCTAAAGACGCACAAAAGAGACACTCACCACCAAAAAGGTTTGTACAGCAAGCCTTTTTACACTGCTATTCCACAGAGCAACAATTCAACTAAGTTCTGTGCATGTTTACAGACAGGAGACCCATTAGGGAGATAAGACGGAAAATATCAACTAACCCATCTACGCAATAGTGTAGGGCTGAAGGCAAAAGCTCTAAGCTCTCTACAAATAAAAGATCATAAAGGATTTTAGCTGGATCTTGTGACATAAGGTTAGTCCGGTCCTCTAACATATGACAAACAGACATCACAGCTATGGTGGTTTGCATATAAAGATCTGCTAATGAAAACAGGAATTTAGAAAGGGCTTTCAGTAGTATGTCAATGGGATCCATAAATACTGATGCACCCTATGTACAATCAGGGTTTCATTAAGTGGAGCTACAGCCAGACCAACAGTGGGGACAGCTCACTTCTTATTAAGCAATTCCTCCAATGGATGTTGGTCAGTAAAATATTTTGGAGGAGTGAATAATTTATCACGGTTTGCCCATCCTCCGTACAGAACAGGTTCATGTAACAAATCTACTGTAGAAGTTTTGAGGCCTTTCGGGAGTCCCAAATCTAGCACCAGAAGTAGTTGCTTGAACTGTTCCAGTTTTACACTGGTTTGTACCATTTCAATAAGGACTTATGATTTTGGATCTATATCAGCTGACTGTGGCTCACCAGGAACACATTTAATCAGAACAGATTTATACATAGCATTAGCAGTCCACTTACAGTTTCTGTGTTCTGAGCAAACATTTTTTTCTATTTTGTTCATAAACTCTAGCATAGCTGTAGAGAAATACTCCCTTAAGATGGTAAAGGAGGGAGCTACCTCAGATGGAGCTAAGAGAGGATCCAAGACGAGTGTGGACTAAGGAAGTAGAAAACAATTCAGGCCATGAGTGTCAGGCTCTGAGGAGAGATACTGGAGGCCACCCCAAAGTAGATTGTGAGCTGGAGAGGCCTGATACAACAGCAGGACAGTTCCCTTTGTGCTTAGGATACAGCATGTTGCATTTCTAGACTGAGGCAACCTAATTTAAAACACCAAGTAAATGACCTTGGTAACTCACAAACCAGCTGCTGAAACAGGAGAGGTTAAAAGTCAGAGTTGAAAAAGGTCACAGTATATAATAGGAAGAATTAACTGAGGTGAAAAGTCAGTGTCTCCTGCAAATAGGAACAGTGGTGGAAAAAACTACCTTATACTGAAAAAGGTGGGAACAGAATGTGAAGTACAAGGACACACCACTGCAGCTAGTGATACAGCACATTCTTCCTCTGCATGCTGACCCTTTCCAGAGAAACTGAAAGCCAATGCTCACACATAATAAAAGAGTCCTCAGACTCTGGACCTGGGAAACACTCTCTGAGGTTTACAAGCACAGTACACAAGAGACTGGAAAAGACCACAAGCAAAGCCGTGGTACATTCCAGGTTAGCGCTGTCACATTCATGGGCATCTTGTAGACTGGATCACACAAGAGGCTGTGCTATGGCTCTGAACCTTGGGAGCTCTGCAGCTAATTAACACAGTGAACAAAAGCTTGGAGTAAGTGCTGCAAGCAGCGCCCAATGCTTGAAAGCCATATTCCAGGCAAACTCTGCAATTTTTGGTCTAGCTGGCTCTGGGTATGGCCTCCAAGGAAGCACCAAGGAAATTATTATCTGGATAGCTACATAAAGAGTTGAACTCAGCAGCAGGTAGATGAAGTCTTAAATGAAGCAAAACGATATTAGGAAAAGATAATAAGAATAAAAATGGTTAAACTTTTTTTCAGTACAGAAAAGACATCCGTCCTCCTATGGACAATAGCAAAGAATTGAAGCATGCTGATAGTGGGAGGGTCTATATGTGTCTACTTTTTTCATAAAGAAATTTTGATCATTAAAGAGCATCACATGATATAGCTGCATCGGATTAAGAATAAACTACTATACAGGAATGTAAACAATGATTATATTTGTTTTTGGTGTAATGAACCACATTTCTTGTTTTTAAGCAATCAAAACAATTTCACTATTTTAACTGTCTAATATTTATCTACGTACTAATTACTACCTTTTTCAATTCACCTATGCCCATACAGATGTCTCCTTAACCTGTTCAAAATGAGGACTTCAGAGTGATTTTGTATATAAAATGAGACCCTATTGTAAGAAAGAGGTTATATGAAAAAACATAGTACCTTATTTCATGCAGTTTGACTATTTCATTGATAATTAGAACAACAAGGATTGAAAGTGACCCTGACAGCCATGACAGTAAGGGAATGTCCCAAAGGCTGAACTTGAGAGGAGAATCAGGATTTGTCCACAGCTGTAGATCTAGGGCTGTCTGTAACCCTTGTGCGAGAACCCTGAGACACAAAACACTATTAAGAAGATAGAAAACAAACACTGAATACATTGTAAAGTTTAGTGAAGCACCAAGTACTCACAAGACAGGAAGAGTCAAGCTCCACCATATATTGCTGAAGGGGTTCCTCTTCCATAGAGATTTAGAACGATGGACATGACTGACAGAGATAAACACTGGGAAGAGAGAAAAGACATTTAGAGGCAAAGTCTAGGCTACACTCCCTTTCTCATAGTTTTAAACACGTGTCCTCTTTACCTGTGTGTAGGACAATGAGACAGGCACAAAACTTCTGAGCTACAAGCAATGCTCCAGAAAGGGATCCAAACCAGTCTGGGGCACCAAGAGCATCACTGAAAAAGTTAGAACAAAATACAATGGACATAATTAAGTACAATGGGTTCTACCTTCTGCAGGAAAAAACCTGTTCTCATAAGTGATTCCCAATTTTGTACCTATAAACTGGAAATCCAGAGCAGTTGGTAGTATTATTGTGTGTAGACATCTCACAAAACCTCTGCAGCGAGAACCAGAAGCATGCCAGACAACAGGAGGAGGAAGGGAGGAACTTGAGCAGGAAACATACTAGGAAATAATGCCGAGTCTAAAGGTGACGAAAATAACAATTATCCACACAGTATGAAGAATTTGATTTAGAAGAGTAAGAAAAGTATAGAACAGTAAATGCCCTTTGAGGAAATAGCCCATCCACTCTAAAGATTCACTGTCTGGAGTAGTGCTGTATTTATCATCTCTGTTGATTCCTACCATCTGAATATTGCATAGATGCAGAGCTGAAGCTGGGGGTCTGACCATGGAGAATTTCACCAGTCTATGCTCAGTCCTTTTCTTCACCGGTGCAACAGCACTGGTCATTGTTCTTTATGGCCAGAACCACCTTCAACATAGGTGGAGATGGATAAAAGCAGAATGGGGTTCTATGCAAGGTAGATGATTTGCGCTGCCCTTCATCCCTTTGATAAGGGCATTACAATAGGTGGAGAGAAGATACTCCATTTGAACAATCTTGCAAGGCATGGCATCCTCCCTTGTGAAGGGATAGGCAGGTCAATAGCTTTAGCCAGCTAAAAATTTCCACTGGATTACTGCAAGAGCATAAAAGGTTGTAGTTGCACCCCCTTGATGTCCACCAGACCCTAAGCTCCTAATTAGTTTACCCTGTGGATAAATTGGTTAAAACAAGGCTCGACAAATCCCAGGTAGCAGGTCGCTATGGCAACTAGAAATTGCATCCTGGGCACCTGGGCTTTTGTCAGCCCATTCACTGTTGGTGCCAGGCGTAACCTGCAATTCCTATTGCCCTACTGATCTGTTGGTCACCTGGATACGGGTCTCCACCCTCCCTGAACTAGTGGCCACTGCCGACACTCTCCTCACAGCTTGGGACAGCTCAACCTTACTTTTATTTTCTCCGACTTGCCCGATACAAGGCCTGGCAGAGGATTCCTGAGTGCGGGAGAGCAACAGGGATCATGGGCAGGGTCTGAACTTACTTCCCACACTGATTCCTTCAGATGCTTGCCTGGAAGTGGAGGAGGCAGCGGGACCACCCGTGTGCGAAGCTCGGGGATGCTGGGGCACTGACGCTCTTAGCGGAGCAGCCAGTGAGCAGAGGTAGTGGAGATGATGGCGGAATGACAGCCTGGATCTGGAGCTCAAGTCCAGCTCCACTCTGGCCTCTCCCTCCTCATCCACCATGTTAACCAGAAAACACGGGGTGGCCGTGGCCATCCATTTAGCTGCAAACAGCAAGGAGCATGCTGGCTGGGGGGAGGAGAGACAAGAGGCCAGCCCTTCAAGGGTTAAATCACCTTTGCTGTGGCAGATGGCGCATCTGGAGGCCCAGTGGTAAAAACAAAGCCGTGTCTGACTCATCTTGGATCATGGCTTTACCTTACAATGACAGTCTGAGCCAGGACCTCCATGGGCTCCCAGTCAGCTCTGTTCAGTGGCCCCAGACATTGTCACTGTCTAATTCCAACCCTGCTTTGTCTTCCAGGCAGAGGAAGTGAAGTAACCAGCCAGCACCAGCATTACCCCAATTTGCCGCTGCAACCCGATTGCCCGTCTCATTGCCACCCAGTGAGGGCTGGGGGACATGCGTCGCTCTGGAGCCTGTTCGTCTGTCTGTCCTTCACACACAGCCAAGGCTGCCCTATTCACAGATATCAATGTGCTGGGGACAGCTAGGCTTACAGCCAGACACAGCTCAGGATCAGTGCAGGAGGCATGAAAAAATAGGCTCCTAACTTTTTTAGCTGGCTCCTAGATTCAAAGCAAATTTGTCAAGCCTTGGGTTGATATGATATGAAGAAGCAGCACAGATGATAAATGCTGCACCACCTTGAGACAGCAAATTGGAGTACTTTCTAAAAGGGTAGGTTTTGGGCACAACAGAATTTTTTATTTTTACAGAAAAGACACTTCCCCACCAAACACGAGAACTCATCATTTCACAGAAAAAATATAAAAACCATTTCCAGCATTAAAAATTAAAATTTTGGGAGGAGCCTTAAATATTTATGATGCCAAATATTTAGTGTATGTATGACAAACTAAGTGGGCTGTATTAACTTTCGGAGAGCATATACAGCTCATTCAGATGTGGTGTACATTTGCCACATCCGGCCCTCGGGCCGCAGTTTGGAGACCCTGCTTTACATGTTGTATATGTTAGCTGTTAATAAATATTCAAGTATGCACAGTCCTAAAGCTACTGTTAAATCTAAATAAATTAAAACTTATGTGAAATAAATGATAAGTATAAAACCAATTACGATAAGTGATATATAAAAATCCAAAATGGAAAATATCTTCAATATGCAATACATACTACAAGTAAATAAATAGCATCAAAAATGCATTCATGCAATCCAAACAATTCTGAACTTTAACCCACTGTTTTTTTTGTTTGTTTTTTTTTAAGTGAGGTCAACTCGGCAGAGTTCTAGTGACTTGATGATTAAGAGGTCTACAAAGTCATCAGTATTCTACCAGTCTGGTGAGATCTTACATTGTTATCTCCATAGCTGTAGTCAATGTGTCCGACCACCTATTAGCCGTTCTCCCTCTTTGCCTGGTGCCTTCAATCTTCCAAAACATTATTTCCCTCTCAAGTGATCTTGCTCTTCTAACAGTGTGACTAAAATAAGACAGTTGTAACTTCATCATTTGGGCTTCTAGTGATATAGCCAGTTTGATCACTTTCAGAACTGATATATCAGTCATCTACTGCAGATATATTACAGATATACTACTTTCAACTACTGCAGATACATTATGTGTGCTACCAAATCTGTGGTAACCAACAGCAACTAGAGATTGCCCAACACATATGTACCTGTACTCATTAAGTGTTCTCTTGTACCCCCTCAGTTTGAGTTGACCCACCAGATTCAAAGGAGCCTGTAATACAAAGGTTTTAAATACTTTCCCCAAACAGTGCAGTTTGCATTTCTTTTATTCAAAATGTCTTTAGGATTCCAAACCACCAGATCCACATTACTACAGTGGGGAAAATAATTATTTGATCCCCTGCAAATTTTGTACGTTTGCCCACTTACAAAGAAATCAAGGGTCTATAATTTTTAGAATAGGTGTATTTTAAATGATAAAGACAGAATATCAACCAAAAATCCAGAAACAAAACGATACAAATGTTATAAATTGAGTTGCAGTTCAGTGAGTAAAATAAGTATTTGATCCCCTACTAACCAACAATAATTCTGGCTTCCACAGACTGGCTATGTGCTCATGTGGTACATGAATTAGTCCTGTCAATTTAACAAGGTGGTCCTAAGGACATCTCCTTACGTGTATAAAAGACACCTGTCCACAGAATCTCTTTCTTCCATTCAAACCTCACCATCATTATGGGCAAGACCAAAGAGCTGTCAAAGGACATCAGGGACAAGATTGTAGATCTGCACAAAGCTATGGCAATGGGCTACAAGACCTTCAGCAAGAAGCTTGGTAGGGAGACAACTGCTGGAAAGATTATTTGCAGATGGAAGAAATACAAAATAACCATCAATCGCCCTCAGCCTAGAATCCCAATGGATATATGAAATGGGCAGTTTAGCTCCTGGGGGCTTAAACAAAGAATTTGATTTATCATGTTTCATTAGTGATTTCTAATACACACATATGTACCTATAGTATTCGGTTCAGTAGAAATAATAAAAGGCCAATAGTAAAGATGTGTGGAAGGTAAGAATAAGAAGTAGTAGATATATGGATCCACTTTCCAATAGAGTTGAAAAAAGTGGTTTAATCAAAACAAAGAAGTGATTGTTAGAGGCAACATACCTACATAACAACATAATTATTTATAAAAGTAAAAATAAATATAAGATAAAGATAGAAATACAGAGGTGTGGTTAAATATAAAATAAAAGTTCATATATATACACAAGTATAGATATAGGGAGTAATGATATATATGGAGTGCTTAATTATTTCAAAAGTAGTAGATACCATGATCCTTGAACCACTATAACAAGTAATCTGATTTAAATTTGGAGGTAAAGATCAAAAATAGGGAATTTGTCCTATAGAAGTACATGGTACCTAACACTTCAAAGAGCTCATATATGAAGAATTATTACAATTTTATTACATTATAAAGACTTTATAGTTTATTTAAATATATAATGTCATGATTATATTTTATGGATAAAATAGGGGTCATATATATACACATGTATAAATATAGGAAGTAATGAAATATATGGAGTGCTTAATTATTTAAAAAGTAGTAGATACCATGATCCTTCAACCATTATAATAAGCATTCTGATTTAAATTGGAGGTACGGATCAGAAATAGTAGGTAATATGCCCCATAGAAGTACATGGTAACTAACACTTAAAAGAACTCATATATGATTAATTAATTTTATTAGATTTTAAGGACATTATAGTTTATTTAAATATATAATGTCATGATTTTTTTGATGTATTTATAAGTTTGGGAATAGTTAATATGTAATTTTATTTTATATTATTTTTTATTTGTATATTCTTTATTATTAAATTTTTTTAATATTAGTTATCAATTGCTAATATCATTTAATGTAGTGGATTATTGTTAATGTGTGAGCCGCACGCCCCTTGCGAGTCCGTATGGTGTAGTGAGTTGAAGCAGAGTAAAAAGTATCTATAAATATAAAAAAGTAATTAATGTGATAGCACAGGTGGAAGAGTAAGATCGTTACACACAATTTGGCCCAAAAAAGATGGCCGCGGTCAAGAAAGAACAAGAAATGGTGCATAGCAGCTATATAAATCAGTATGGGTGAAGTGAACATCCAATCGCATCCCCCGGACGAAGCCACATGGACCTATGGCGCAACGCGTAGGGGAGGGACTCTGATGTCACCACACACCCAGGACGGCGAGTATAGGTTGTGTGCGGCACACACCCAGAGGAGGATATTTTGTATACACAAAGCGCAAATTGTTTTTAATAATGTGAGTGCAATGTTGGGCACATAAAGTATATTTTAAAAGGATAAGGCACTATATCTCCTCTTTATAACGTTTATACGGAGGAGAATCTAGGAGAGGATCGGGGAGATGGAGGAGAAAACCCGCAGCATAAGGTGGGAGAGATCCTAGCAGGAATACCTGCACACGAGGAGAGGATTATCAAGGAGCTCCCAGGGGATATCCACCATCCAATAAATCCCAACGATGCAACAAGAGAACACATAAGGTTCCAATTGTGAACACAAAGTGAAGTTTGCCTAAACATAAGGCTTACATGGAGGTGAGCGCATAGTAAAATCACAAATAAGAGCACACAAGATTCTACAAATATTGTTTTGGATCACATTAAGGATTTTTTTGTGACTGTCACCACTTATTTAAATATAGACTTATGAATTTTCATTAATATTTTTTATATTTTTTTATTTTTTTGAGTTTCATCACATTTGAGTTGCATTATATGGCACAGTTGAATAATATGTATGGATTTTCATATTAATTGAAATATATAGTATATTAATTTGAATATTGAATATTTGGCACAAGGCACATTTTATATATTCAGTAGAGGATTTAAATTATGAGAGAGTATTTTGGGATATAACATTTAGATATATTAGTTTTGGAGCATGACATTTTTTTGATTAAGTATAAATACACATGTAATGAGGATGTGATGTCAGTGAAGCACAGCACTAATTAATATACAGTCAGGTCCATAAATATTGGGACATCGACACAATTCTAACATTTTTGGCTCTATACACCACCACAATGGATTTGAAATGAAATGAACAAGATGTGCTTTAACTGCAGACTGTCAGCTTTAATTTGAGGGTATTTACATCCAAATCAGGTGAACGGTGTAGGAATTACAACAGTTTGCATATGTGCCTCCCACTTGTTAAGGGACCAAAAATAATGGGACAGAATAATAATCATAAATCAAACTTTCACTTTTTAATACTTGGCTGCAAATCCTTTGCAGTCAATTACAGCCTGAAGTCTAGACATGCATAGACATCACCAGACGCTGGATTTCATCCCTGGAGATGCTCTGCCAGGCCTCTACTGCAACTGTCTTCAGTTCCTGCTTGTTCTTGGGGCATTTTCCCTTCAGTTTTGTCTTCATCAAGTGAAATGCATGCTCAATCGGATTCAGGTCAGGTGATTGACTTGGCCATTGCATAACATTCCACTTCTTTCCCTTAAAAAATTCTTTGGTTGCTTTTGCAGTATGCTTTGGGTCATTGTCCATCTGCACTGTGATGCGGCGTCCAATGAGTTCTGAAGCATTTGGCTGAATATGAGCAGATAATATTGCCCGAAACACTTCAGAATTCATCCTGCTGCTTTTGTCAGCAGTCACATCATCAATAAATACAAGAGAACCAGTTCCATTGGCAGACATACATGCCCATGCCATGACACTACCACCACCATGCTTCACTGATGAGGTGGTATGCTTAGGACCATGAGCAGTTCCTTTCCTTCTCCATACTCTTCTCTTCCCATCACTCTGGTACAAGTTGATCTTGGTCTCATCTGTCCATAGGATGTTCTTCTAGAACTGTGAAGGCTTTTTTAGATGTCGTTTGGCAAACTCTAATCTGGCCTTCCTGTTTTTGAGGCTCACCAATGGTTTACATCTTGTGGTGAACCCTCTGTATTCACTCTGGTGAAGTCTTCTCTTGATTGTTGACTTTGACACAAATACACGTACCTCCTGGAGAGTGTTCTTGATCTGGCCAACTGTTGTGAAGGGTGTTATCTTCACCAGGGAAAGAATTCTTCGGTCATCCACCACAGTTGTTTTCCGTGGTCTTCCGGGTCTTTTGGTGTTGCTGAGCTCACCGATGCGTTCCTTCTTTTTAAGAATGTTCCAAACAGTTGTTTTGGCCACGCCTAATGTTTTTGCTATCTCTCTGATGGGTTTGTTTTGTTTTTTCAGCCTAATGATGACTTGCTTCACTGATAGTGACAGCTCTTTGGATCTCATCTTGAGAGTTGACAGCAACAGATTCCAAATACAAATAGCACACTTGAAATGAACTCTGGATCTTTTAACTGCTCATTGCAACAGGGATAATGAGGGAATAACACACACCTGGCCATGGAACAGGTGAGAAGCCAATTGTCCCATTACTTTTGGTCCCTTAACAAGCGGGAGGCACATATGCAAACTGTTGTAATTCCTACACCGTTCACCTGATTTGGATGTAAATACCCTCAAATTAAAGCTGACAGTCTGCAGTTAAATCACATCTTGTTCGTTTCATTTCAAATCCATTGTGGTGGTGTATAGAGCCAAAAATGTTAGAATTGTTTCGATGTCCCAATATTTATGGACCTGACTGTACATACTTAGAGCCTCACAAGTACTAATTTACACATTTTTTGATTAACACGCCCTCGGCCTGGAGCTCCATGCAAGATTTCGCCTCATAGGGTAAGGATGGTCATGAGGAAAGTGAGAGATCAGCCTCAGATCTACACGGGAGGAGCTTGTGAATAATCTTAAGGCAGTTGGGACCACAGTCACCAAACAAACCATTTGTAACAAAATACGCCGCCATGGATTGAAATCTTGCAGCTCCTACAAGGTCTCCCTCCTCAAGAAGGCACATGTACAGGCCCATATGAAGTTTGCCAGTGAACATCTAAATGATTAAGAGAAGGATTGGGAGAAAGTGCTGTGGTCAGATGAGACTAAAATTGAGCTCGTTGGCATTAACTCGACTTGCCGTGTTTGGAGGAAGAAAAATGCTGACTATGAACCTAAGAACACCATCCCTACAGTCAAGCAGGGGGTGAAACATTATGCTTTGATGCTGTTTCTCTGGTACAGACTGACTTTGCCAATGGATGGGGCCATGTATTGTAAAATCTTGGATGAGAACCTTCTTCCCTCAGCCAGAACACTGAAGATGGGCAAGGCAACAAAGGAGTGGCTCAAGAAGAAGCACATTAAAGTCATGGGGTGTCCTAGCTAGTCTCCAGACCTTAATCTTATAGAATATTTATTTATATCCTATAGAATATTTTAACCTCAAGTTCTCAATCAACAGCCAAGAAACGTTAAGGATTTAGAGAAGATCTGTAAAGAAGAATGGACCAAAATCCCTCTGGAAATGTGTGCAAACCTGGTAACCAACTACAAGAAAAATCTTATCTCTGTGCTTGTCAACAAGGGTTTCTTCACCAAGTACGAAGTCATGATTTGCTTGGGGATCAAATACTTATTTTACTCACTGAACTGCAACTCAATTTATAACATTTTTATCGTGTTTTTTTCTGGATTTTTGGTTGATATTCTGTCTTTATAATTTAAAATACACCTATGATAATTTTAGACCCTTCATTTCTTTGTAAGTGGGCAAACTTACAAAATCTGCAGGGAATCAAATAATTATTTTCCCCACTGTACATCAATAACAGAGAAAACGAGGGTTCTCTATAGTGTGCACCGTTTCCTTTATTTATATTAAATATGGTAAAATACTTACCATCTCATGGTACTATACCAACAGCTAATAAGCTCAGTTCTCCTCCTCCCCCGTTCTCATTGAAAGTGAGGAGTTTATCTATTGTGCCCATGGACATCACTTATCTCACCCAAGGCATTTCATCACTTTTGGACTTCCTTAGGAGTAGTCTCCTCTTGATACATTAAGGTTAATCTGGTGGTTTGGAATTCTGAGGGCATTTTGGGTGATAGAAATGCAAACGGCCTTGTTTGGGGGGAAGCTTTTAAATCCATTGTTTTAGAAGGTTGTTTGAACCTGGTGAGTCAACCAAAAACTTGGTGGGGGGCACAAAAAAGCACTTGTAGAGCATGAGTGCACTGGTGGTAGAAGATCATCTATTGCTGCTGGTTACCACAGATTTGGTGGAGAACAGAAAATATCTGCGGTGGATGACCAATGGTTGTTATAGGTTGCCACAAACTGAAAGTTCACAATAGTTTTGACTGCACTTTATTTAGTTATGGTTTATGTACTAGTAGTGTTTATTGCATATTGAAGATATATTTCATTTTTTGGACACAATTCTTTTCACCATCATGCTCATCAATTCATATGGTATTTATTTTTAGACTTATTTATAATTTATTGCACAACGTTTTTCACTATTTATGATTTAACAATAGCTTTAGTACTGAGTATACTTACTGAATATTTAATTAATATATTTTGAAAAATAGTACAATGGCTTAGCCTAGAACATTGTAGGGTAGCTGTTGTGTAGTTTTTGAGTACAGAGTATTTTATATACAGTATAATGTCATCAATGACATTGGCCTTTTAACTCATGAGCTGTCAGAAATGAAAAGTAAACTCATTAGTATTATTTTGACTGATGAACAGACCTTATTAGAAAAATAAAACTGTTGCAATGCCATGCTTATCTCCAGATCACAGTAACAGATAGAACAATCTTTCAGATAGAACAATCGCCACAACACAGAATGCATTTACCTTTCTAGGTATGGAACGGAGATTTTTTCCAGTTGCTACAGACATTATGGAGCTGTCAGATGGCTTCCCGAGCAGTGAGACACTGTGGAAGAGACAAAAAAAAAAAAGGATAGCTCGCTACACACATCTAATCATTGCAGCTATATCTAATGTTGCCATGGGTAAATAGGTCTATTTACAAAATATACATAAATCAATTGCTGCACTACACCATCATTATTATCAAATAAATACATAAATAATGAAAACTGGATAAAAAAAAACATCAATATATAATCAAGTTCCAAGTGAAAAATCGTAAATAAAGTCCCGATATTCTGTTAATGTGTAATCCAACACCGGGTGTCTTCAAATAAGCCAAGTGCACCACCACCAAGTAATAGTAGGACTCTTACTGGAACATGTGGACCCTTAAACTAATAAGAGACATAAATGCATGAATAAAATGGCCTGGAGATATGTGTCCACCATAACTCTCAAGCAGAGGAAAGATGACAATCATAATGAGTGGAAAGGATCCTTTCAGACATATAAGATGGGGATAGTCTGAAGGGATCCTTTCCGCTCCTTGTGATTGTCCAGCATCTTTCCTCTGCTTGAGAGTTATGGCGGATACACATCCCCAGGCCATTACATTCATGCGTTTATGACTCTTTTTAGTTTAAGGGTCTACATGTTCCGGTAAGAGTCCTACCATTTCTTGGTGGTGGTGCACTTGGTTTATTTGAAGACACGCGGTGCTGGATTACCCATTAACAGAATATCAGGACTTTATTTACGATTTTTCACTTGGGACTTGATTATATTGATATTTTCTATTATACAATTTTCTTTATTTATGCATTTATTTGATAATAATGATGGTGCAGCGCGGCAATTGATTTATGTTTATTTGTACACAATAGATCTGACTGTTTTGCCAGCAGCAATATTTCACTTTTTGCGCGACTTTTGCGCCACTTTCTTGTCTTATTTACAAAATATTCCTTGGACAAATGTCAGCAGCATATGTGTAGACTGGATAAAATGTCCCTGCATTTTTTTTTTTAAAGATTAATTCTTGTATTGACATATCCATCTAGAGAGGTCAAAATGTAGCAGTATTCTAAAATACCTCAATGAGAAAATATACAGCATTTTGCCCACTAGATGGAGATGAGAATATAGTAATTAGAAGAGTGATGTGTGGCATAAGCTTCTAATGTTGGCCCTGAAATGCCAGGATAGTAGAAGCATCCCCCGAAATGACCCCTTTTTGGAAAGCAGACACTCCAAAGTATTTGCTAAGGGGCAAGATGAGTATTTTGCAGATCTCATTTGTTGCCACAGGTTTTTTGAAAATGAAGAAAAACAAAAATTTTTGTTTTCCTTTCCTTTTTAAAAAGAAATCCTCACCAAAATCTTTGAGGTGTCTACTTTCCAAGGGGTAATTGGGGGGGGGGGGGGGTGTTTGTACTATCCTGGCATGTTCAGGGCCTCCGAAACTGTGATAGGTAGTGAGGAAGTGACTTGAGGAAATATGCCCTTTGAAAGCCTGAAGGTGGTCATTGGATTTTGGGGGCCTGTATGTGGCCAAAAAGTCTCTCACATGTGGTATCCCCAAACCCAGGAGAAGTAGCATAAAGTGTTTTGGGGTGTTATTCTACATATTTCTATAGCTTGTGTGAGCAATATATCATTTAAATGACAAATTTGTGTAAAGAATAAAAACATTTTTTTTTTTCATTTTTCAAAAATTTGTGGCAAAAAATAAAATCTTCTACGGACTCAGCATGCCTCTCAGCAAATTTGTTGGGGTGTCTGCTTTCTAAAAAGAGGTCAATTGGGGGGTTAAACTGCCCTGGCATTTTAGCACCTCAAGAAATTCAATAGGCAGTCAGAAAGTAAAAGCCGCATAAATTCCAATATATATATATATATATATATATATATATATATATATATATATATATCATAGTTAGTAGACGCAATAACTTTCATAAAACCAATTAATATACATGCATTTTTATTTTTATTTACAAAGCCATGTAGCAGAATGCATTTTGGCCTAAATGTATGACTAAATTTGAGTTTATTGGATATTTTTAAATCCAAGTAGAATAAGAAATTTTTTTTTAATTTTTTAAAAACTTTTCAGTTTTTTTTTTTTCAGTTATATCAGAAAAATTAAAACAAACTTAGTGGTGATCAAACGCCTCCAAAAGAAAGCTCAATATGTGTGAAAAAAAGACATTTATTTTGTTTGAGTACGCAATTGCCAGTTGAAATAGTAGTGCCGAATAGCAAAAAATCGCCTGGTCAAGAAAACCTTCCGAGGTTGAAGTCGACTTGAAGACCAAGCCTTTTCTGACACTTTTTGTTTACATGAAAAAAGGTTTTTACTTTGAACCCCCAACACTATGTATTTTTTTTTAAAGTAGAGGCCATAGAGAATAAAACGGTTAAGGTTGAAATTCTTTATGCCACATGGTATTTGCGGAGTGATTTTTCAAACACAAATTTTTGGAAAAAATACACTTTTTTAAAATTTTAATGCACAAAAACACAATACATTGCCCAATTGTTTGATAAAATATAATGTTAAACGGAGTAGATATCATGACATGCTTTAAAATTGCGCATGCCTGTGATACGGTGACAAACTGCATACATTTTTAATATCCATAGGCGATGCTTTAAAAGCCTTTACAGGTCACCAATTTATATTTACACAGAAGGTCTAGTGCTATAATTACTGGCCTCGATCTGACGTTTGCGATAATACCTCACATGCATGATGCAAACTGTTTGCATACACAGACGCTTACATTTGCATTGGGGTGATTTTTTTTTTTTTAATTAATTATTTTACTTTTTTATTTTTACACTGTCCCTTTTACTTTTTATTATCACTTTTATTGTTATCACAGAGAATGTAAACATCCCCTGTGATAGCATTAGGTAATGACAGGTACTCTTTTCTGAGAAATCTTAGGTCTATTAGATTCTAGATCTCTCCTCTGTCGTTAAAGCATCTGATCACACCAAAAGTGCTTGATCAGATGCTTTCCCAATTTCCGCCGCCTGCATTCTCGAGTTCCCCTGTGGGTTGGGAGAGCCTGAGAAAGGCGTGGAAGGCAGCGGGGGTGGTGGTGGTGGGGTTTGGCTGGTGGGTAGGACATCCCTACCTGCTGCTAAATAGCCACTAGGATTGCTTTTTACATGAAAGCTGAACACCAGCTGAAAATAATTATACCAGGTTGATGCCAGTAGCTGCAGGCAGCATCCTGGTATGACCATTACCATTACCAGTATGTTGCTGTTCCTTGTTCGGCATATACAGTTAGGTCCATATATATTTGGACACAGGAACAATTTTAGTTTTTCAGGTATTTACCAAAACATATTCAAGCTATAGTTACATAATGGGGCAGCACAGTGGCTAAATGGTTAGCACTTCCGCCTGGCAGTACTAGGGTCGTTGGTTCGAATCCCAGCCATGGCACCTCCTGCCTGGTGTTTGCATGTTCTCCCTCTGCCTGCGTGGGTTTCCTCCGGGTACTCCGGTTTCTTCCCACACTCCAAAGACATGCTGTTAGGTTAATTGGATCCTGTCTAAATTGGCCCTTGTATATGAATGTGAGTTAGGGACCTTAGATTGTACTCCCCTTGAGGGTTAGGGACTGATGTGAATGTACAATATATATGTAAAGCGTTGCGTAAATTGACAGCGCTATATAAGTACCTGAAATAAATAAATAATGGATATGGGCTGAAAGTGCACACTCTCAGGTTTAATTTGAGGGTATGTACATCCAAATTGGAGGAAGGGTTTAGGAATTACATCTCTTAAGAGTAGCCATCCCCCCTTTTTCAAGGGACCAAAAGTATTTGCACAATTGAATCAAAAGCTGTTTCATGGCCAGGTGTGGGCTACTCCATTATTTCTTCATCAATTAAGCAGGTAAAAGGTCTGGAGTTGAGTCTAAGTGTGGTATTTGCATTTGGAATCTACTGCTGTGAACCTACATCATGCATTCAAAGGAGCTGTCAATGCAAGTGAAACAGGCCATTGTAAGGCTTCAAAAATGAAACAAATCCATCAGGGAGATAGTAGCAACATTATGAGTGGCCAAATCAACAGTTTGGTACATTCTGAGGAAAGAAGAATGCATTGGTGAGCTCAGCAACATGTGTTCAAATATATATGGACCTAACTGTATGTAACAACAGAGGACATGAGCATATGATGAATTGGGTCTGTGGACCAATATGAGTGCAATTAATTATTTTTTGTAATGCCCATGTTAAGGGTTAGGCCCAAAAAAGTTATACATTCGGAAACTGTGATAGGATTACATGTGAATTGTCTGGCAAGAGCTGAATTTGGGTGGGCGGCGATGTATTGTTGTGCGTATAATTGCTTTGGCCCACAATCAATTGATACAAATTTTTAGTGAAAAACAGCGGTTAAGGCTAAACGTTAGTGTTGGCAGCGAACGGGGCTGATCCTGCTAACATTGTGTTTTTGGGGACACTATATTAAGGAGGCACTAGTATAGTTCTGTTCGTGATCAATATATTTATCCATGCAAACACTATAGTAGTAATGGCGGTGATCAGCGACCTATAGCGTAAGTGTGATAGGTGCAGGCAATCTAATGCTAGCTCACCCTGGCTGGGAGGGGAGCTAACTGACCCTGACACAGTCTGATGTCGCTAGTGGAGGCAATACAGTGATCAGTGAAAATTCTATCTACTGACACAGTACTAATGGCACTGTCTGGGTGACAGGGTCACCAAAGAGTTAATAGAGGCAATCAAAGTGCTAAATGTGCTTATCTAGCGCGCGCGTGTGTAAAATGGACCGACAGGGGGAGCAGTGAGGGCTGCACGCATGCTCGCTCACTCCCAGAAAGTGACGTAAGGGTATGTAGCTTTGCCCAGAACCGCTGCTCGCCTGCTCATTTTGGGCAGGCAGTATATGCAAGTAGCTAAAAAAAAAATACCCTTAATTTTTTTTTTTTTAAATTTTCTCAATATTTTATATATTTTTATTATTATTATTATTATTATTAAAAAAAAAAAAGACACTTTCATCAGAATAAACGTTAACATAACAAAACACTGTACTACTCTGGGGGGGCGATCAGGGATTTTTTTTTTTTAACCTTTTGCTTTGCAGGAGCAATAAAGATCATTGCTCCTGCAATGAAGTACATACTTTGAACTGTTAAGAATGGGTATGGTAATGACAGTTAAAAATAATAGTGATCTGTGATTGGCTACAGATGATCACATGATACAGGATGCTGTGATTGGCCCATGTACCATGTGAGAGCTGTGGGCCAATCACAGCTCACTAGAAAGGGAAGCAAAGCTGTTGTGCTATGCGATCACATGACCACCGGGATCCGTATTTCGCTGTGTTCTCAGTGCCCCCCTGTGTTACCACAGCCAGAGAGACGTACCAGTACGTCGTTCTGCCTGCACAAGCCGCCCGTCCGGAGTACATTGTGGGCGGGCAGTCCTTATGTGGTTAATCTAAACAGAAAAAAAAAACAGGAACATTTTATCCAGGTTGCACAAAATGCCTGATATTCATCCAAACACACCTTTTGAAGTGTACTTATTCAGTTCAGCCCTTATACCTGTATACTGATATGGAACAGATCAATTGTTTAAAGCCATACGTTATTGAAAACATTTTATTCCCTGAAAACAAGATCCATAGAAAAACATCAAAATAGAAACAACATTAACAACATCCAAAAAATAAAAAGGCACACATTCACCATCAAACCAAAATGACATATTTAAAGCAATACACATTCTTATTTATTCAGTAATAACTTTGTCATTGCTTAAGATAACAATGTAATACATTTATAATTTTTATGGACAGATAAGGCTCTCTGTTGGCTTCAATGTTTTTGCACATTGATCAGAGTTAAATTAAAAAAAAAGATAAAAAGTATACATTTACTTTTTTATAACACCAAAAAATTCACATTAAAAAGGAAAGAAGATTTTAAAAGTTTTAAAGATTTTTAGTTTAGAACAATAGAAATAAAAAAAATCATAAAAATGATCACCAAGGGAAGAAAATGAAAGAGTTTGTAAAGGCTGATAGAGTGAACTAAGGATTAACAAGAGGTTAAATAGGATCAAATTTTATTTATTTATATTAGTCTTCAGGTTGCTTTAACTGATGACATATGCAAATCAAAACTTATGGTTTTGATCTGCAAATGAATGGAACAAAGTAAAATAAAGTAACAACTTCAGAACATATTTAGAAAGCAGTATCTATTCAACAAAGATTCTCTACAGGTGAATCTGAAAATCAAAACGTAGCAATTTTTGCATTTCTCAATATTACTACAATCATCTGCTCTCTCTCTCCCTCAATGGAAGCTCAAGGTTAATAGTTTCAGATATCAAACCATAGAATTCTTCAATTGACCAGTAACTCAATCTGACAATATTAAATCAACATATGTATACTTAAAAACATATAATAAATATCCTTTGTATAAAACATATTATACACTTAGAACATATAGCACCAAAAAGTGACAGATCTCCAAATCGGTCCAATGATCCTAAACGCTCTAGTGGGAAGCAACCTTGTGTTAAAATGTATCTTTTTGTGATCACAGCAGATATTGCACAGTCACTCATATGTTATCCTCTGGGGGAATACAGCAAGAAATGTCTCTGTCAGTTTACATACCCAGGGAGGCTCAGTCCACTGCTGCTTTGCTTTACTCACAAAGAGTCTTTACTCCAAGCCACCATGTCAGCACTGGACCTCTACAAACACCACACTCCTTTCTTCCAGTGCTCTCCTGTGATGAGCAATGTTAACCCCTTCTTCTCCACAAATTGTGGTAATACTGTGATGCAAACAAACACAAGCGCTTTTCCTTGAATAGTATAACAAATACTGTTTATTGTATAAGAACATCATTGTACCCACAAAGAGATCTGTAATACAGGCTTATCAGAACAGGTAATCCCTCTAGGTCAATCTGCTGGAGGCTGCCTCTCCCACTGCAGTAACCAAGGGCAACCAACTCAGAGACTGCTACAGTGCTCTGTTCTCCTATACCCATACGCGTTTCATCAGTGGAAAGAGGCAAGTAACAGGAACTTCCTTATAGCTTGTTTGCTTGCATTAAAGTATAAACACAATTTGTGGAGAAGAAGAAGTTATTGTTGCCCATCAAAGGAGAGCATTGGAAGAAAGGAGTGTGGTGTTTGTAGAGATCCAATGCTGACATGATGGCTTGGAGCAAGAAAGGAATACAAATACTCTGAACCTTGGGAGTAGAGCAAAGCAGCAGTGGACTGAGCCTCCCTGGGTATGTAAACTGACAGAGACATTGCTTGCTGTATTCCCCCAGAGGAAAACCTATGATTGACAGTGCAATTACTGCTGTGATCACAAAAAGATACCTCTTAACACAAGTTTGCTTCCCACAAGAGCTTTTAGGATCACTGAATGGATCAATGTGTGGTACTGTATGTTCGAAGTGTATAATATGTTTTATACAGAGGATATTTAATATGTTTTTAGTATATGTAGGTTTATTTAATATTGTCAGATTGAGTTATTGATCAATTGAGGGATTGTATGGTTTGAGATCTGAAACTATTAACTTTGATCTTCCACTGAGGGAGAGAGAGCGTGCTGGTTGTAGTAATATCTAATCCACACAGCATGAGGTTTGTCATTAGTAGCCCTCTAACTAAGGAAGTGCAGTGGTACGGCATTTTTTTTACAATTTTTGCAGCATTTGTGCATGTTTTTAAAAAAGTACGCAGTACATAAAGGGCAAACACATAATAAGCAATAGAAAAGTAGGCAAATTATGGCGTCTGGAGGTGGGCTTTAATTTGCTTTTAACTTTGTCAATCCAACACTACACTCACAGTTATCTAGTGGGATGGAAAGTCTGGGGATAATCTTGAAGCAAGCTGTCACTTTTTGAATTCCTTCCAGGGGCAGTATGCAATCTAACCAGAAAAAAAGATGAATGGAAGGGATATGTGATGACAAGGCAGGTCCACTTACTCATGGCCCCACTCACCTCAGTAATGGGTAACAGAAGCAAGACAACCATAAAATATCTGTAGTGCTGAGTAAAGGAGGTAGCTGGAGCAGGCAGGCCAGGAACTAGAGAAGAAAAAAAAAACCTTCGTATAACTTCCATAACACAAGCTATTCATAAATTGTAAATAAATTATTTCTCCAAATGCTAAAAGAGTTTACAGCAGGGGTCAGCAACCAGTAGATCGTTATCTACCAGTAGATCTCAGCCAGGTGACTGGTAGATTACAGTCAGGGCTTGCTGACTCACCATCCCAGAGCATCAAACAGACTGCAATGCAGAGGACTACTTGTAAATTTGAAGCTATAGAAGGGAGCAAGAGCCGCATAAGCCGATGTCTGCTCTGTAGTGCTGGCTCCTAAACCCTGTCATGGTTGGTGGGTGTAGCACCTCCCAAGCATGACCCATTGAAGTGAATGAGACCATTCTGCAAGTACCCTGCAACCTTGTGCAGTATAGAAAAAAACAGGCAACAGTGTTATACTTTCTCACCCCTTACTTTAACCCCTTGAACCCTGCAGAAGCATGCAATTACAGGGCACTTGCAGAGTGGCCCCACTTTCTTGAATGGGTCTTTATTGACGGCGGTAGCACCCACCAAAAGCATCAGGGGTTGTAATTTCTGCTAGAGCAGGTATACACCTTTGGCTGCTGCCTCAGCAGCTAAAGGGGGTAAGGATTGTGAGTGATTAAACTGTGACTCAACTGCAGGATTTTACCCCACCCAACTTTACATGTGAATGATCCCTAAGAGTGCTGCTGCCAGATGCAACTAAGGGCTCACAAGAGCAGCAGGCACTGCTGATCCTCTACAAAATGATCCCAGCATGTTTGACAGGTGGTGAGGAGGCAATATGTTGCCTCCTCAACAGCTGATTTAAACCCATGAATGCCGTGCAATGCATGCTATTGTGACATGGTAGTACAATAGACAAAGGTTTAAATCAGCTGTGAGGAGGTGACACTAGGTGATCTTTGATTTCTCCCATGTTGCTCAGATAAATCTCCACCGCTTTAAGGTTGCCTACCCCTGGTTTACAGCCTTCCTGTTTTATCTTTAACCAATTGAAGACCAGGCCTATTCTGACACTTTTTGTTTACATGTAAAAAACAGTATATTTTTGCTAGAAAATTATTTAGAAATACCCAAACATTATTTATATTTTTAAGCAGAGGCTCTAGAGAATAAAACGGTGCATTTTGTAATTTTTTTTATGTCACACGGTATTCGCACAGCAGTTTTTCAAATGCAATTATTTTGTACAAAAATACACTTCAATTAATTTTAATGCACCAAACATAATTTAATACCCAATTGTTTGGTAAAATATAAAAGATGCTGTTACGATGAGTAAATAGATACATAATATGTCACGTTTTTAAAACTGTGCACGCTTGTAGAATGGCGCCAAACTACAGTACTTAAACTCTCTATGAGCAATGCTTTCCAAGAGGCCCCAACTAGGAATGATGCTCTGCTGGACCTGGTAATCTCAAACGATGCAGAGCTTATTACGAATGTCCATATAAAATAACATCTGGGTAGCAGTGACCATAACATGATTTAATTTATTGTTAGCTGTAAACATCAAGCACATACAGGAAAAATAAAAACGCTAAACTTTAAGAGAGCTAATTTTTCAAGGCTGAGAGCTGCTCTCCAAGATTTATACTGGGAGGGAATATTGGCATCAATGAACACAACACAGAAATGGGAGTTCTTCAAAAAGACTGAATGAGAACACACTGGCCAACAAGTTCAAAAGGCTAAAAATCAAACCGATGTCGCTTACGGACAAAGTTAAAAAAGCTATAGAGAATAGGAAGAGAGCTTTTATTAAATATAAAAATGAAGGAACGCTATCATCGTTTAAACATTACAAAGAATATAACAGAATATGCAAAAAGGAAATAAAGGCTGTAAAAATTGAAAATGAACAACAGATTGCAAAAGATAGCAGGACCAACCCCAAAAAATTCTTAAAATATATTAATAGCAAAAAAAGGTCCGGTCCGAGCATGTAGGTCCTTTACAAAATAATTTAGAGTGGGTGACTGGGGACGAAGCTCTGTGTATACAAAGGAGCATGGGGGAGCTCTTGTCCATAATGGGCATGGTATTGACACAACTCCAGATGATCCACAAATATTTAGACAGAATAAAGATGAATAAAGCACCTGGACCGGATGGCATACACCCACGGGTACTTAAAGAATTGAGCTCTGTCATTTCAAAGCCATTGTTTCTAATTTTTAGGGACTCTTTGATGACTGGCATAGTACCACTGGATTGGCGTAAGGCCAATATGTGGTGCCAATATTTAAAAAGGGTTCAAAATATTTACCAGGTAATTATAGACCTGTTAGTTTAACTTCTATAGTTGGGAAGATACTGAAGAGTTTAATAAAATACCACATAGATGAGTTCTTGCTGGAAAAAAATATTTCAAGCCACATGCAGCATGGTTTCATGAAAGACAGAAGTTGTCAAACAAATCTGATTTCTTTTATGAGGAGGTGAGCAAAACCTTGGACAGAGGGGTGGCGTTGGACGTGGTATACTTGGATTTTACAAAAGCATTCGACACAGTTCCCCAAACATGGCTAACGTGTGAGGTAAAGTCTACAGGCTTAGAAAAATCTGTATGTAAATGGATAGAAAACTGGCTAAAAGATCGTATTCAGAGAGTAGTGGTTGTTGATTCATACTCTGATTGGTCTAGGGTTGTCAGTGGTGTACCCCAAGGTTCAATGTTGGGACCCTTACTTTTTAATACATTTATAAATGATATAGGGTCTGGGATTAAAAATACCATTTCAGTCTTTGCAGATGACACCAAGCTGTGCAGTGGAATAACGTCCTTACAGGATGTCTCCAACTTACAATCCAACCTCAATGCACTGTTGGGCAACTATGTGGCAAATGAGGTTTAATGTTGATAAATGTAAGGTTGTGCACTTGGGGGCTAAGAATATGCATGCATCATACATAAAGTAGCATAAGCATATAGTCCTGGGCTGGACGATAGACTGCACAGAAACTGGAACCACACATGGGATGCCTAGAAGATGCATGCCTTGCTGCCAACGGACCAGGGAAATCCAAATGAACTGCATACAATCATTATCCTTTGTGAGTATATTACCATGTTTTATACAATAAATTAATGTTTAATGTATGCACTAGCCTGTGCGCCTTCTGTTTGTTTCTTTGTATGCACCATACATACAAGGAGAGAGTACAACTGGGGGAATCAATGGTGGAGAAGGATCTGGGAGTTCTGGTAGATCACAAGCTTAATAATGGCATGCAATGCCAAGCTGCGGTTTCTAAAGCGAGCAAAAATCCTCTCTTGTATTAACAGAGATATAGACTCCAGAGAGAAATATATCATATTACCCCTGTACAAATCATTAGTAAGACCTCACCTCGAATATGCAGTTCAATTTTTGGCACCAATTCACAAAAAGAACATTGGGGAACTGGAGAACGTACAGAGAAGGGACAAACTGGTAAGAGGCATAGAGGAGCTCAGCTATAAGGAAAGATTAGAGAACTGAATTGATTCTCTCTTGAGAAGAGGAAGGGGGGATATGATCAACATGTATAAATACATCAGTGGTTCATTATAGTGAACTCTGTGTAGAGCTATTCACCTGAGGTCATCAGAGGACAAGTGGGTACTCTATGTCTGAAGGAAAAGAAGTTTAATCTCGGAAAGGGTTTCTTTAAACACAGAAAGGTTTCTTCACAGTAAGAGCTGTGAAAATGTGGAATAGACTCCCTTAAGAGTTGGTTCTGTCCAGCTCAGTGGATTGCTTTAAAAAAAAGGCTTGGATTCTTTCTTGGATACACAGAATATAACTAATATACAGGTGAAACTCAAAAAATTAGAATATCGTGCGTGCAAAAGTTCATTTATTTCAGTAATGCAACTTAAAAGGTGAAACTAATATATGAGATAGACTCATTACATGCAAAACAAGATAGTTCAAGCCATGATTTGTCATAATTGTGATGACTATGGCTTACAGCTCATGAAAATCGCAAATCCACAATCTCAAAAAATTAGAATATTGTGAAAAAGGTGCAATATTCTAGGCTCAAAGTGTCCCACTCTAATCAGCTAATTAAGCCATAACACCTGCAAAGGGTTCCTGAGCCTTTAAATGGTCTCCCAGTCTGGTTCAGTAGGAATCACAATCATGGGAAAGACTGCTGACCTGACAGTTGTGCAGAAAACCATCATTGACACCCTCCATGAGGAGGGAAAGCCTCAAAAGGTAATTGCAAAAGAAGTTGGATGGTCCCAAAGTGCTGTATCAAAGCACATTAATAGAAAGTTATGTGGAAGGGAAAAGTGTGGAAGAAAAAGGTGCACAAGCAGCAGGGATGACCGCAGCCTGGAGAGGATTGTCAGGAAAAGGCCATTCAAAAGTGCTGGGACTTTCACAAGGAGTGGACTGAGGCTGAAGTCAGTGCATCAAGAGCCACCACTGTGCTTCATTAAGTCCAGGGTCAACGCAGCCGTCTACCAGGAGATTTTGGAGCACTTCATGCTTCCTTCTGCAGACAAGCTTTATGGGGATGCTGACTTAATTTTCCAGCAGGACGTGGCACCTGCCCACACTGCCAAAGGCACCAAAACCTGGTTCAATGACCATGGGATTACTGTGCTTGATTGGCCAGCAAACTCGCCTGACCTGAACTTTCTTGCTTTGCATGTAATGAGTCTATCTCATATATTAGTTTCACCTTTTAAGTTGCATTACTGAAATAAATGAACTTTTGCACGATATTCTAATTTTTCGAGTTTCACCTGTTTATTAACATTTATAGGTAAAGTTGATCCAGGGAATAACCGATTGCCTTTCAGAGGGATCAGGAAGGAATTTTATCCCCTGCAGGAGCAAACAATCATGCTTTGCTGGGTTTTTTTGCCTTCTTCTGGGATCAACTGTGGGTGTAGGATAATAACTTTTTTTTTTTTTTTTTAATGGTTGAACTGGATGGACTTTTGTCTTTTTTCAGCCAGACTAACTATGTAACTAGTAGACCCAGATT